CTATTGGTTCCTTGGTGCGTCAAGTACTTAAAATCAATCATTAATAAAAGGGAGCTATATCTAAATGTGGACCGATTTTCACAAAACAACGCAGACATCAATCTATCTAAATCTGGACCGATTTTCACGAAACTTTGCAGACATCATTCTAGACCTAAATGATTAGGCTGTACCAAATTTCGTGCAAATCGAAAGATATATAGGGACTTTGGGGCACCATTTACATGAAATCGGACGAAACTATAAGTGGGAGCTATATATAAGTGGGAGCTATATAGAAGTCTGGACTGATTTTCATAAAACTTGGCAGACATCCTTCTAGGCTCAATTAAGTACGTTATGCCAAATTTCGTGCAAATCGAAAGATATATAGGGACTTTGGGGTACCATTTACATGAAATCGGACGAAACTATATATGGGAGATATATCTAAATCAGGACCGATTTTCATGAAACTTGGCATACATCATTCTAGACTCAATTCAATACGTATGTCAAATTTCGTGAAAATCGAAAGATATATAGGGACAGGGAAAATACCAAAAAGTGAAACAATACCTATAATTCTACAAACGGATTTATGTAAACGATTATGTACACCCAATACAAATTTCAGCAATTTTTAATGCGGATTTTTCCTAAAATCTGAAAACCCCAAAGCTTGGACTGATACTAATAACGCATGGTAGAGTATAAAATACTCCAACTACTGCAATGTAGATTGCAAAGTTATATGAGGCAATGCCTAAAGGGGGACCAATATTGACTACAAAGTGTAGGAATTAGCGAATATTTTGGGTTATCATTATATGAGGGCCTAATTAATGACCGATATATATCAATTTCGAACCCAATATTTTAGTTATGTATCTCAATTTTTCCCTTCAGGAAGAGATGTCTAAATGCCTGCCGATATACATGAAAAAGAAATTTCAAATATATACCACAAATATAAACCAGTAAGGAATGTAGTAAAGTCGGACTGGGCCGACTATATGATACCCTTCACCACTTTGGGTATATTGTACAATGTATCCTTAAAATTGCATGTTAATATTCCCTCGAAGGAACATACTAATGTCTTTCTGCAACCTATGCTAAATTTATGCACTGTTAAAAATTTAATCTCAATCAGACACCCGTTCAAAATACATGTGAAAGTTATACCTACATCTACACCAATTCCAACAAAACACAATAACGTCATTCAAGGGCCCCCTCTGCCTACGTCGTTGGGAGCTATATCTAAATCTGAACCGATTTTCACGAATCTTAACACTTATTGTTCTAGACTTAATCCAAATCGAAAGTTATATAAGGATTTTGGTGCACCATTCACCTAAAATCGGACGAAAATATATATGGAAGCTATATCTAAATCTGAACCGATGTTAACAAAATTTACCACACATCGTTCTAGACTTAATTCAGTACGCTACGCCAAATTTCATGCAAATCGAAGAATATACAGGGGCTTTGGTGCACCATTTACATAAAATCGGACGAAAATATATATGGCCGCTATAATTAAATCTGAACCGATTTTAGCAAAATTTAACACACATTTTGTGTAAATCAAAATATATATAGGCACTTTGGTGGACTATTTATCTAAAATCGGACGAAAATATATATGGGAGCTATATCTAAATCTGAACCGATTTTCAAGAAATTTTACACACATCATTATAGACTCAATTCAGTTCGCTATGCCAAATTTCTTGCAAATCGGAAGATATATAGGGACTTTGGTACACCTTTTACATGAAATCGGACGAAACTATATATGGGAGCTATATCTAAATCTGAACCGATTTTTCCCAATTTCAATAAGGTTCGTCCTTGGGCCAAATAAATGAGCTGTGCCAAATTTCATCCATTACGAATCAAAAATGCGACATGTACTTTGTTTACAATTTAACATGAACAGACGGACGGACGGACTATGCATAAATAGACTTAAAAAGTGATCCCATGGATATTCTCAAAAGGAACCATGTGTCTATCTCGTTTCCTTTTGCCTGTTACAAACATATGTACAAAGGTATAAAAAGGGGGTTATATGGGGACTAACACTAAAAGGGGAGCGAATATTAATAATTTTTGGGAGGTAGGTTTGTTACCACATACGACTACAAAAAACCAAATTACAAAGAATTTGGTTGAACAACGCGTTCAAGAACCCCAAACATACCGAAAATTGGGGTACCCTTAAAAAATGGACCTATATTTATAATGTTTAGTGGAGAGATCAGAATACGATCAGAATCCCCAAAATACCGAAAATTCGGGGGTAACCTTATATGGGGACTACCAGAAAAGGTAGACCTATATTTATATTTTTTAATCGGGAGATTTGCTACCCAATAAGAACTCAAATTACCAAATTTCAGCGCTGAAAAACGCGCTCAATAACCTTAAAATACCAAAAATTGGGGGGTACCCTTACATGGGAGCTATGCCTAAACGTGGACCGATGTATCCAATCTTCAAACTTCACCTGCCTGCAGACAAAATATATGCAAAATGTTGGCGATCTATCTCAATTCGTCTTGCTGTGGGTCTCTTGTGTAGAAGAGAGAATATTTAGTTATACAGGGATCTATTTTTGTCTGCAGTCCACTTGAGATAAGAGATTATTTTGGTTGAATGTTTGTACACAAGAATAAGATTGGATTTTTATATTGCCACATGTGTCAAAAGGAAACGAGATAGACACATGGTTCCTTTTGAGAATATGCTAAGAATCACGTTCTGAGTCGATTTATGCATATCCGTCCGTCTGTAGATGTTAAATTGTAAACAAAGTACAGGTCGCATTTATGATCCGATTTGGATGAAATTTTGCACAAGTCACTTATTTGGACCAAGGACGAACCCTATTGAAATTGGAAAAAATCGGTTCAGATTTAGATATAGCTCCCATATATATTTTCGTCCGATTTAAGGTAAATGGTGCACCAAAGTCCCTTTATATCTTTCGATTTGCACGAAATTTGGCACAGAGTACTGAATTAGGTGCAGAATGATGTGTGCCAAGTTTCGAGAAAATCGGGTCAGATTTATATATAGCTCCCATATATAGTTTCGTCCGATTTAAGGTAAATTGTGTACCTACGTCCCTATATATTTTTCGATTTTTATTACATTTGCCACAGCGTAGTGAAAAATGTCTAGAATGATGTCTGCCAAGTTTTGTGAAAATCGGTTCAGATTTAGATATAGCTCCCATATATATCTTCGTCCGATTTAAGGTAAATTGTGTTCCAAAGTCCCTATATATCTTTCGATTTTTACGAAATTTGGTATAGCATACTAAATTAATTCTAGAATGATGTGTGCAAAGTTTCGTGAAAATCGGTTCAGATTTAGATATAACTCCCACATATATTTTAATCCAATTTTAGGTAATTGGTGCACCAAAGCCTCTAAAAATCATTTGATTTGCTCGAAATTTGTCATAGAATACTGAACTAAGGCTATAATGACGTGTGCTAAGGTTCGTGAAAATCGGTTCAGATTTAGATATAGCTCCCATATATATTTTCATCCGATTTTAGGTAAGTGGTGCAACAAAGTCTCTGAAAATCATTCGCTTTGCACGAAATTTGTCATAGAGTACTGAATTAAAACTAGAATGACGTGTGCTAAGTTTCGAGAAAATCGGTTCAGATTTAGATATAGCTCCCATATAAATTTTCGTCCGATTTTATGTAATTGGTGCATCAAAGTCCCTATATATCTTTCTATTTGCACGAATTTTGGTATAGAGTACAGAATTAAGTCTAGAATGATGCATCAAAGTCCCTATATATCTTTCTATTTGCACGAATTTTGGTATAGGGTACAGAATTAAGTCTAGAATGATGTTGCTAAGCTTCGTGAAAAGATCCATAGCTAGGCCGATTGACACAACGTACTGATGTAATATAAATTAGTGTCGGGCAAGTTTCCCTGAAATCGGTAAAGATATAGATAGAATGTAGAATATACCCAAAGTGGTGAAGGGTATCATATAGTCGGCCTAGTCCGATTTTACTAATTTCCTTACTGGTTTATTTATTAAAAAATGACTGTGTAAATGCACAGGAAAAGATAAAGACGTGCTATATCTCCGCGTCACATAGACCAGATCCCTTGATTATCAGATGCGTCACAAATGGAAAAACAAAACCATTATACCCTCCATACTATGGTGGAGGGTATAAAAAAGTATTCAAAATTTCAACTAAAAAATGTGGTTTCTGCAAAAACTTTTGCAAATTTTAAATACAGTAATAGGCGAATACTAATTATAAAATTATGTTCAGATTTGAATAATAATAGTATCGAATACCAATATTAAACAATCTACAACTTTTTTTTTAATTTCTGTCTAGAAAACAAAAAATTCCAAAGAACTAGATCATTAATGACGAATTAATGCCCCCCAAAAGAAGAAAGAGGAAGAAGAAGAGGTTATGCCTAAAAACGTATGGACCATAAACTAAAAGAACATCGAACACCCATTGCTAGCATTTATTATTCCCTTAGCATAACCATAAAATACCTGATTGACTTTTCACACCAACAAAAAACGCCTAAGAAATGCTTAAAAACTGGTTATCGATCGAATGGGGGGACAATAAAAATTAAGATCGAAAAAAAATAAAAATTAGATAAAACCTATAAAAGCTTTGTTTTAGTTCTTTTTTTCTGGAACAATTACAAATAAAATCTGGAAAACAAAAAGTTATGCAAAATAGAACCCAAATGACCGCTTTGATAAACTTGTTCTAAGTTCGTTTAAAATAGGCTAAAATGTTTTTTATGTGACAGATCTGAACTGAGTTACGGAAAATGTGTAACAAATTGAAATAAATAGCCACTGTCAATCAAGATTAAGCATCAAAGACTTAAAACCCTTTGCCGAGTAAAAACAAACATTGCCGGAAAATGGTAAGGGCTTAAAATCGAAAAGGAAAACATTAATAATTGAATACTTGTATCCTTCCTCATAGAAATTCGTTCTGGTCGCCTTGGCTTTTGTGGCATGCGCCTATGCTGATGTCTCGGAATTGGGTTACAACTATCCCAAGCCCACTCCAGCTCCAGTGGTTCCTTACTTAGTTGTGGATCCTCCACCAGCACCAGTAACTCGCCAGGTTATTCAAGAACTCACGAATACCTATCTTCCTCCAGTTACCCGTCATGTTCATGTTGAACAATTCCAGATCAGACCCCCAGCACCTGTAACTCGTCGTGTTGTGGTTGAACAACCCCAGATCAATATTCCCCAATCACTAATTCAGATTCAACCACCCCGACCCCAGATTCAACCACCCCAATCACTAATTCAGGTTCAACCAGCACCAGTAACTCCCCTGATTGTTGAACAACTCAAGAGGACCTACCTTCCTCCAGCTCCAGTTACTTCTTATGTTCGTGTTGGAGAACCCCAAATATATCCCCCAGCACCTGTAACTCGCTATGTTCATATTGAACAACCCCAGACAACTTACCTTCCCCCAGCACCAGCACCTCACTATCTTGATTAATAAAATTATTTTTGTCGATTAATAAAAATAATTTTAAAAATTATTTTTTTTAATATTGAAATTTTTTTTAATGGTCACCATAAGTAAACCAGTGAGAAAAGTTCAAAAGTCAGATGGGGATATAGTCGGCCCCATCCGACTTTTGAGACAAGAGACGATATATCATCTTTAGAGGGCCTTTGAAATGAATGAAATGTGTGATCTACAAAGATATTTGAACCTATTACAAAACCCCATATACATACCATCCTGAAATCTATGAACAAGTCCATGGCAATCGGGAAAACTTGGATTCTTTGGTGTACCATTTGTATAAAACCGAGCAAAATTATGTACAAATGTAAATTAAATGTACAAATACAAATTTTATCTCGTGTATATGGAATAGACGAAGGCTACTCGGTGAACCATTTACGTACAATCAGACGAAAATATATATGGGAGTTATAACTAAACCTGAACCGATTTTTACGAAACTTAACACACATCATTGTAGACGTTATGCCGAATTTCATGTCAATAGGAAGATATATAGGGACTATGGTGCACCATTTACATTAAATCGGGCGAAACTATTAGTTTGGGGAAAAAGAAATCCATTATTTTTTCCGGCAGATGGCTGTATTGATAGATTTCTCGTAAAGTATCGATCAAACAATTTCAGATTTATGCTTGTTGGAAGGGTGACATTTCGCAGTAAAATGGAAGTGAACAAAGAGAACATTTGGTAATTGTTATAGTTTTTCCTTGAAACGAATTGAGATAGATCGCCAAAATTTTGCATAGAGTCGTCTTTTGTGTGCAGGCAGGTCAAGTTCGGGCTTTATAGGTCCAAGTTTAGGCATAGCTCACATATAAGGGTACCCCCAAATTTCGGTATTTTGGGGTTTTTCAACCGAATTCACTGAAATTTGATAATTTGTAGTCGCATACGGCAACAAATCTCCCTACAAAAAAATATTAATATTCACCCTCTTTTAGGGGTAGTCCCCATATAACCCCCTCTTTATATAAAAATAGTTATTTGATTTGTTCCGCGTTTTGGGTTTGGTTCTAAGACTCTGTTGTAATTATTTCACCTGCTGAGATGTTCCACCCTACCATGCGTCGTCAATATTGGACCACTTTTAGGAAAAAATCCATTAAAAATTGGTTTGTAGAATTATCGGTATAGGTCCACTTTTGGGTATGTTCCCTATATTTTCGATCCCAGTATCTGTTGTATGGTGGTGGGTAACCAACGCTTTTTCACTTGTTTGATGTTAAAGATGTACCTCGCACAGGTAGGCCGGTCGTCGAAAATGTCGATAAAGTCAGAGAAATGATCGAAGTTGACCGACATGTTAGCAGTCGTAACAAAATCGACCATAACTGTTTTAAACCATTTTTTCCCCAAACTAATATATATGTGAGCTATATCTAAATCTGTGCCGATTTTCACGAAACTTAGTACACATCATTCTAGACTTAATTCAATATACTGTGCCAAACTTCGTGTAAATCAAAAAAGATATAGGAATCCATTTAGTGATCCATTAACATAAAATCGGACGAAAATATATATGGGAGCTACATCTAAATTTGAACCGATTTTCACGAAACTTTTTACACATCATTCTAGATTTAATTGAGTACGCTATACCGAATTTCGTGCAAATCGAGGGATATATATGGACTTTGGTGCGCTATTTACCTAAAATAGGACGAAAATATATATGGGAGGTACATCTTAATCTGAACCGATTTTCACGAAATTTTACACACATCATTGTAGACTTAGTTTTGTACACTATGTCAAATTTCGTGCAAATCGAAGGATATATATGGACTTTGGTGCACTATTTACTAAAATCGGAAGAAAATATATATTGGAGCTATATCTAAATCTGAACCTATTTTAGGTTCAGATTTAGATATAATTTCAATAGGGTTCGTCCTTGGGCCAAATAAGTGACCTATGCCAAATTTCATCCAATCCGAATCAAAAATGCGACCTGTACTTTGTTTACAATTTAACATGGACAGACGGACATACATATATCGGCTTAAAAGGTGATTCTATGCATATTTTCAAAAGGAACCATGTATCTATCTCGTTTCCTTTTGCCTGTTACAAACATATGCACAAAGACAATACCCTGTACCACAGTGTGGCGAAGGATATATGGGAACTACCCCAAAAAGAGGGCGAATATTATTAATTTTTGGTAGGGCGATTTGTTACCTTACACAACTACAAAATACCAAATTGCTATCGGAAAAAGTAGACCTACATTCATAATTTTTTGTAAAGAGATTTAATACCCTTATATGGGGGCCGATATAGACTATTTTCGAACTTGACTTGCCTGCAGACAAAAGAGGACAAAATTTTGGTGGAGGGTGTAAACATGGACAATGGACACATTTTGGTCATTTTCTGCAGAAAGATTTGGTAGCCAATAAGTACCAAACGTTGGAACTTTAAGGGGACCCCCCCCCCAATCTCGGGGTCAAAATTTTTTTTTTAATTTAAGGGGACCCCCCCCATTCTCGGTGTCAAAATTTTTGTTGATATAATTCGAATCTACACTGATTAAGGAATGTCTCTACAAAATTTCAAGTGAAAATCTCAAGAAGTCTTGAAGATATATCCGATTTATTGTATCAACATTAAGTGACGGCTAAAGGGCTTCTCAAACTTTAAACGCGTTTTACTCTAAACATTTTTTTGTGAATGGCGGGCACGATAACTCAAAAACCAATAATCCAATCGGATCCAAATTTTGCAGCGTTTCTCTGAGAGTGTATAGCTCTCGTATGAACTAGGATAAAGCCAATCGGTGAAGATCTTCCTTATTTTTTAACATGGTTTTTGGTAAAAAATCGGCGATTTTCCAAAAAAAAATTTTCAAAGGTCCACCATTTTGTTAATTTTAGAGCGAAGTCAATAATCCTAGTTCATACGAGAGCCAGACATGTCCTCTTTCTGACACAGTTGGAATTTTCGGATTCCGATGTTCCAGTGAGGAGTTATCATGCCCGCCATCGAAAATGTGGACTTTTCTTTGCACCCAAAAAACAACAACAAAACAACAACAACAAATTTTTGTAAATTATTTTTCTTCCTTTTTAAATCTTCAAATATATATGTGCCAAGTTACAAACCTTAACAAGCATTGGTATTCATTTACCAGCCCATTTAAAATCTTAAATCGAATCCCTTAATTCGAATCCACACTAATTTAAGAATGTCCCTACAAAATTTCAAGTGAATGGCGTGCACTATAACTCAAAAACTAATAACCCAATCGATTCCAAATTTTTAAACGTTTCTCTCTGAGTGTATAGCTATCGTATGAACTAGGATAAAGCCAATCGGTCAAGATCTTCCTTATTTTTTAACTTGGTTTTTGGTCAAAAATCGGCGATTTTCCAAAAATATATTTTCAAATGTCCGCCATTTTGTTAATTTCAGAGCGAAGTCAATAATCCTAGTTCATACGAGTGCCAGACATGTACTCTTTCTAACACCGCTGGAATTTTTGGATTCCGGTTGATGCGTGTCCGTCTGATGCATCAACCGACATAGAATTTTATTCTGATCACTAATATATACACTTTATGGGATCTCCGGTGAATATTTCGAGATGTTGCAAACGGAAAGACAAACTTAATATACACGCCACCTTATGGTACTTCTTCTTCTTCTTAGCTGGCTCGAGAGAGAGCATTTGTTCCATAAGCCGAAAACGATGCTTCTCAGACATATCCCAAGGTGTTTTTCTCCACAGAATACCAACACAAGGAAATAAAATACGTTGAAGTTCTTGGTTTCTCATCGACTCTACACCTTCGATACATATTACTAAATCAGACTACTACCAGACTAAGCAGAATTGCTTATATACTCAACTCTGACTTCGTATTATATTTCGTAATCAAATTTATTCTCAATATTAGTATTTTTTCAAAATAAAATTTTGTTATTTTATTTGAAAAAAAAATCAAAATTTCAACTGAAAAATGTGGTTTGTGCAAAAATTTTTGAAAATTTTAAATAGAATAATAGCCTAATTATTAAAATGTTTATTTCTAAACTATGTTCAGATTTGAACACTAATGGTATCGAATAACAATATAAAACCATCTAAAACTTTTTTTTAATTTCTGTTTAGAACACAACAAATTCCAAAGAACTAGATCATTAATGACGAAGTAATGCCCGCCAAAAGAAGATGTTATGCCTAAAAACGTATGGACCATAAACTAAAAGAACATCGAGCACCCATTGTTAGCATTTATTATTCCCTTAGCATACCTGATTGACATTGCACACCAACAAAAACGCCTTAGAAATGCTTTTAAACTGGTTATCGATCGAAGGGGGGGAGGGAGGTGGGGACAATAAATAAGCAAAATTAAGATCGAAAAAAAAATAAAAATTATATAAAATTTATACAACTTTGTTTCATTTTTGTTTTAATTACAAAAAAAAAAACTGAAAAACCAAAAGTTCTGCAAATTAGAATCCATATGACCGCTTTGAGAAACTTGTTCTAAGTTCATTCCAAATTGACTATGATGCTTTTTATGTGACAGAAGATCAACTCAGTTAAGGAAAATGTGTAACAAATTGAAATAAATAGCCACTGTCAATCACGATTAAGCATCAAAGACTTAAAACTCTTTGCTGAGTAAATACAAACATTGCAAAAAATGGTAAGGGCTTAAAATCGAAAAGGAAAACATTAATAATTGAATACTTGTATCCTTCCTCATAGAAATTCGTTCTGGTCGCCCTGGCTTTTGTGGCATGCGCCTATGCTGATGTCTCGGAATTAGGTTACCGTTATCCCCAGCCCACTCCAGCTCCAGTGGTTCCTCACTTAGTTGTAGATCCTCCACCAGCACCAGTAACTCGCCAGGTTATTCAACAAATCAAGAATACCTACCTTCCCCCTCGTGTTCATGTTGTAGAACCACAGGTATATCCTGTAGCCCCAGCACCTGTAACTCAACCCAAGATAACTTACATTCCCCCAGCACCAGTAACTCGTCATGTTCATGTTGAACAACCCCAGATCAATCTTCCCCAATCACTTATTCAGATTCAACCAGCACCAGTAACTCCCCAGATTGTTGAACAACTCAAGAGGACCTACATTCCTCCAGCTCCAGTTACCTCTTATGTTCGTGTTGTAGAACCCCAGATATATCCCCCAGCTCCTGTGACTCGCCATGTTCATGTTGAACAACCCAAGACAACTTACATTCCCCCCGCACCTGTAACTCGCCATGTTCATGTTGAACAAACCCCGATTAAGTATGTTGTAGAGCCCAAAACCACCTACATCCCACCTGCACCAGTCCGTGTTGTAGAACCCACATACACTGAAGACGGTTACCATTACTAGACTGTTCGTCATGTTGTCCACAAGCACCGCGCTTAAGAATTTCAGTTTTTTCTTAGTTATGAAAATTATTGTTGCCTAATAATAAAAATCATTCTAAAAATTAAATATGAAAATATGGAAATTTTTGTTAATTGTGACCATAATGGTCACCATAAGTAAAAAACGTCGTTTAGTTCGGCCGGGGCGATCTTGCATTCAAAATTCCTTAAGTCGATCGGGGCATTTATATTGGGAATATGTTACTGCATTATGTGGTAATGCCGAATAGGAAAAGGTGTTGGAACTTTTATGTGGCAATTATATCCAAACTTTGACCTACATAGGCAATTTTCCGCACAAAATAAAAATACGGACTGTTAAACGAGGGATCATATCCTTATATTTCACACGTATATTCTCCGCGGAGTGAAAGCACATTGCTCTTTATCTTGGCTCCTGATTTTTTTGAACGTAACTACGCCACATCACGTGTTTTTATACCCTACACAACCTGGTATTATAGCTTTGTGCAGCCCCAAGAGTTTATAACGCCGTGAAATATTGGTCCTATATTTCGCGTTTATACCCTACACAACTGGGTATTATAGCCTTGTGCAGCCCCAAGAGTTTATAACGCCGCGAAATATTGGTCCTAGACCCACCTTTAAGTATACCGATCGTCATACCTCGACTAGCTGAGTCGATCTATATAATTTGTCCGTTCATTATAATTTGTAAACACGATACAGGCCACAGTTATAGACCAATCTTCACGAAATTTTGCATGTAGGATGGGTTCAGCCCAATGAAGACCCCTATTGGTATTTTTGGTAAAGATCGGTTAATATTTAGGGGATGAAATGGACCAAATACTTAATTTTTGTCGGTTTTTCTGGTCGCTCCAAACATCTCGAATTTTTACCTGGAGAGGGGGATTGGGCCACAGAATAAGCATGCCTATCTTGATGCGGGAGTTACACTTAAATATTTACGAGTGCTTATATATTCAGATATTATTTAGTAACCCGTTACCCCACTAGAAGGCGGAAATATAGAGCTGATTGCTTTGAAATGTTCCATGAGGTTCTAGTTATGGCCAAGGACAATGCCTATAATTTTAGGTGATGATCAGATAATAATATTGGAATGAAGTTGACCGAAAACTTAATGTTTTTGTGTTTTTTTTTTTTTTTGATCTACAGGCCACAATTGAAAGCTCAACATCACAACATAACCCACGGTAAAGAGAATCTGGACAAGTACAGCCCTCATATACTGAATATTAGAAACATTTGTTGACATCTATTCGGTCTAGAGGGTGCTAATATCGCAAAAAATTGCCCAAGCTCTGAATATCAGTTAGAACATAACCCACTGCTCCGCTCACTGGGTTTAACTAATTCTTCATTATATCAATTATATAGTATATGGGACACAAACTTCGCTGACCTAAGCTCTCGTCGCTCCTCCACCAATTCCGATTGAAGACTACCAAATTGTTCTTGGGCGAGCCTAAACCCTCCTGCCATTTTGGATTTCTTCTCCAATATCTCCATCCACCGATCACGAACCACCGGATCGTCTTTCAATTCATCGGGTACGCCCTTCACAATAACTACTATATATTCATATGCGCACGGTATATCCCGCATATTCATAGTCGTATTCAGACTATTGATAATCTCTACGAACCACTCAGTATTCGTTATTAAAGCCTTTTTGTATTCGGTCGGTGACGAGTCTCTGTGTGGTTCATCTTCTAGGGTAAGGAACTCCATATACCGATATTTGGGGTATAGTGTTATATGGGGACTTCCCTAAAAGGTGCATCAATATTGATAATTTGTTGTAGGAAAACTCACTACCATACCACTACCCAAATAAGAAATTACAACTAATTAGATAGACATATGTCCCCAAAACCAAGAATCGAGTAGTACCGTTATTGATCATATTTCGTAAAAAAAATAACTATCTAAAACTCCAAAAATACCGAAAAATCGGGCGTACCGTTAAAAACTGGCACAATATTGATTATTTTCGGCAGAAAATGAGAGTACCCAATGAAAACCAAACGTAGCTAATTACAGTTAATTCGGTTGAAAAATTTGTCAAAAATCCGAATCATACCAAATATTTGAGGGTACAATTATGTGGGGGTTATACCAAAACGTGGATTGATTTATCCCATTTGCAATACCAACCATTCTAGGAGTAATAGCAATGCCAGTGTAAATTTTCAAAGCTCTATTTCAAATATTGCTATCTCTATCGTGATATATATAAATACTTTATGGGGTCTGCATAAAGTATATGTTGCAACCGGAATGGCAAATTGAATGTCTCGAGACATTTATTCCATAAGCCTAAAAAAAGCTAAAAAAAGTGCCGGGCGCGTCGATCTTTTGCGCAGTTTTTCCAATTTCAAAGTCCAAGCTTTGATATGTCATCCTCCACTTGATCTTTTCATCGAATTCGTGGACTTCCCCTTCTGTGTGAAGCATCAGAAGGCTCGCTTTTATATGCCTTTTGAACTGGGGCATCCTCATCCATTCGCACAACATGGCCTAGCCACCTTAGTTGCTGCAGCTCGATACGTCTAGCTATGTCGATATAAAGCTCGTAGTTCATTCGATGTCGATATTCGCGAACGACGCATATCGGCCCGTAGATCTTTAGGAGAACTTTTCTCTGAAACACTCTGCCTCATCTGCTTGCGCAGATCCATATAGCAGCACGGGTAATATCAGCGTCTTGTAAAGTGTGAGTTTAGTCTGTCGGTAGGTGGCCTTGTTTCTAAACTGCTTACTTAGACTATAGTGGCATCTGTTGGCCAACGCTGTCTTTCTCCGTATCTCAAAACTAATGACATGAGTTTTATTTATGTCGGTACCGAGTTAAATGAAATCTTTGACTACCTCGAAGCTGTAGTTCCACAGTTGGTCCCAGGCTACTGGACGTCTTGCGCGTTGATACCATCAGCTTAGTCGTCTCTCCATTTACTGCCCGGCCCACTTTGGCAGACTCCTTCTCAATTTTTTCAAAGGTGGCTGTTACCGCACGCAATGTTCTACTCATTATGTCGATGTTATCGGCCTAGGCAGGATTTTAAAAAGGTCACACGAAATGCTGTCACCTTGTCTGAACCCTATTTCGGCTTCGAAAGGTTTTTTCTGACTTTTACTGTTGACATTGTGGCACTTAAAGTTATCCTACATAGCCATTTTAATTTTCAGGAATGCCCAACTCAGACATGACTTTAAACACCTCTAAACGAATAGGGCTGCCGAATGCTGTTTTATAGTCGAAGAATAAATTGAATGTTTCGATGTGTTGTTCGTGGGTCTTTTTTCAGGATTTGTCACAGAGTGAAAATCTGGTCTATGGTGGATTGAAGCCGGAAACGTATGGTCCAATAACGTCATTAACCATTGGCTTTAGTCGTTCACACAGGACGCTGGATAGCACTTTATATGCGATGGAAAGGAGACTAATTCCTCTATAGTTGATACATATCGTCTTGTATCCATTTTTGTGTACGGGAACCAGGATGCTGAGGTTCCAATCATTGGGCTTGCATTCCTCTAGCCAATCCTTACCAGCATCGGACGACCAGTCTTGAATAGTTCGGTTTGAAACCCATCGGCACCTGCTGCTTTATTATTCTTCACCCGATTGATTGCTATTCAGACCTCATCTTGACTAGGTGGTATACACAACAGGTTTCCTTCATCATCTCTACATGAGGAAGCCTTCGGTTTGGTGTTTTACTCGTTTGTAAAATTTCCGGACTTCGTTCTGACTCCTGTAAAAATTTTACTAAACAGCTGATTCATGCTCCTTAGCAGCATCGGACGACCAGTCTTGAATAGTTCGGTTTGAAACCCATCGGCACCTGCTGCTTTATTATTCTTCACCCGATTGATTGCTATTCAGACCTCATTGTGGCTAGGTGGTATACACAACAGGTTTCCTTCTTCATCTCTACAAGAGGAAGCCTTCGGTTTGGTGTTTTACTCGTTGGTAAATTTTCCGGACTTCGTTCTGACTCCTGTACGCTCACGTTTTTCTGGTTTATTATTCTTTGTTCTGAAAATACGTTTCTCCTCTCTCCATTTCTCCCGATAATTCTCTCTGGCATAACTTGTTGCTACTGTTTGCAGCTTTGCCCTATACGCTGCGTTTTTCATATCAGTAGCATTACGACACTCCTGATCGTGCCACGGATGCCTTGATGGTGGTCTTTGGTACACAAGTGTTGAGTGGGCAATTCTTTAGCAATGTGCTTCTATGCTATTATCGGGACAAGAAGTGCTTTCGTCAAGCAGGTGGGTAAGTTGAGCGGAGTAGGCCTCTGCTACCTGTTGTGTTTACAGCTTTTCGACGTCGAGTATCCGTGTTGTGTTAGATTGCACCTTTGCTGCTACATTAAGACGGGTGCGAACCTTGGCTGCCACAAGGTAATGGTCCGAATCGATATTCGCTCCTCGTATCGATCGAACGTCTAAAACACTGGATGAATGCCTTCCGTCTATCACAACATGATCAATTTGATTTCTCGTTACTTGATCAGGAGAAATCCAGGTGGCCTTGTGTATATCAAGATGATCTGGTGCTGCTAACTACCATGTTTTTGCTGCCGCGAAGACAATCATGCCGTTGTCGGATGTTTCTTCACGGAGGCTTAATTTTCCCACGGTGGGACCAAAAAAATTTTCCCTTCCGATTTTTGCATTAATATCTCCTAGCAGAATTTTAATGTCATGGCCTGGACAGGGGTCATATGCTGTTTTTAAGCTGTCGTAAAATGTGTCTTTGGGTCTGCTCATATTTGTCTTCGGTCGGAGCATGGGCGAAAATGAGACTGATGTACAAGAACTTCGCTTCGCTGCGGAATATAAAAATTCGCTCTTCTACTGGAGTGAATCTGGAGACGAGGTCTTGTATTCTCCTGTTAAGCATAAGTCCGCAGTCAAATCAATGTCTCGTTTCATGGCAGCTATACTACAGGATCATTTGTGAAAAATGACAAAATTTATATTCTATAGCGTATATAATTACTCCTGAAGGACATAGACCAAAGAAGTTGACAGTATATATAAGTGGAGTGGTTGGCCTTTAAATTAATACCAATTATATTGTCGCATGTGCTCGGATGTGGGAGTTAAACTTTAATATTTTTAGGTATTACGTATTCAAATATTATTTAGTAACCCATTAACATTTGAGACGAGAAATAAAGCGCAAATCGCTTTAAAATTTTCCAAGAGGTTCCAGTTATGGTCAAGGACAAAGCCTATAATTTTCGCTGATGATAACATAAAAAAATTGGGATGAAGTGGACCGAAGACTGAATTTGTTTGTGTTTTTTTTTCGAGTCGATATATGGGCCACAAGCCGAACATCACAACACAACCTACGGTGAAGGGAATCTCGAGAATTAGCAGGGCTGTAATGAATATTGGGAATATTCGGAAAATAAGTCAATGTAAAGAAGAGGTGCTATTGATCTACAATCGGTCAAGAGGTCACGAAATATTGTTCAGGCTCGAAATAAACATCCGCAGATGTAAGAGTTCCTGGGAGATATGGTCGGCCCCGTCCGACAATACTGCTCCGTTCACTGGTTTATAGCTGTTATCTGTGAACTCGCGGCACATATCAGCTCACTTTTTCAACGGGTGATGAAAATAGCTACCCCAGGTGACACCGCGGTGAGGTCAGTGTCGACAATTGAGATGAAAAAGGGACCATGATAAACCTGGGCTCTGCTATACTGGGCTCTACCTATACTATATTCCCCATACATGGCTCTTTATTGAAAATTCTCTGCACACCTAACCTCAGTATACGAAATCACAGTTGGTAAACACCTCAAACGAGTATAAATTTTGGCTGGACCTGTACATGGAAGCTGGGTCAAAACATGAAACCGGCTAAATGTTGCTCAAACCGTAATAACATCCAAAATGGGACGGGATATTTATATGGTAAAACATGGACCATTATTGAATTTTCTGCATAAATGTTTATCACCCACTAACAACTGGAAATGCCAAATTGAAGGCATATGGGTTGGAAGAAGGCCGACTGGATATGGATAAAAGGGTCAGCAAAACAATAAAAAATAAAACGAAATAACAATAAAAAAGATAAAAATAACATAAAAATCAATTAAAGTTTTGTTTTGGTTTTTTGTAAAAATTACAAAAAACTATAAAACCAAAAATTATGCAAATAAGAACCCAAATGATCGCTTTGAGAAACTTGTTCTAAGTTCAATCAAAATTGGCTATGATGCTGAGTTAAGGAAAATGTGTAACAAATTGAAATAAATAGCCACTGTCAATCATGATTAAGCATCAAAGACAAACATTGCAGAAAAATGGTAAGGGCTTAAAATCGAAAAAAGCATTAATAATTTAATAATTGTCTCCTTCCTCATAGAAATTCATCCTGGTCGCCTTGGCTTTTGTGGCATGTGCCTATGCTGATATTGCGGAATTGGGTTACAGGTATCCCAAGCCCACCCCAGCTCCCGTGGCTCCTCGTTTAGTTGTAGAACCACCTACGACTACCTATATCCCACCAGCACCAGTAACTCACCTGGTTATTCAACAACTCAAGAAGACCTACCTTCCTCCGGCTCCAGTTACTCCTCATGTTCATGTTGTAGAACCCCAGATATATCCCCCAGCACCAGTAACTCGCCATGTTGTGGTTGAACAACCCAAGATAACTTACATTCCCCCACCACCAGTAACTCGCAACGTTCAGGTTGTACAACCCCAGATAACTTACATTCCCCCAGCACCAGTAACTCGCAATGTTCAGGTTGTACAACCCCAGATAACTTATATTCCCCCAGCACCAGTAACTCCCCTGATTGTTCAACAACTCAAGAAGACCTACATTCCCCCAGCACCTGTAACTCGCTATGTTCATGTTGAACAACCCCAGATAAGGTATGTTGTAGAGCCCAAAAACACCTACATCCCACCTGCACCGGTCCGTCTTGTAGAATCCACATACACCGCAGACGGTTACCATTACTAGACGGTTCGTCGAGTTATCTACAAGCACGCGCTTAAGAATTTCGTTTTTTTTTTTTTTGTTGGTTAATAAAATTATTGTTGCCGATTAATAAAAAGAAGTTTAAAAATTAAATATTTAAAATATGGAAATTGTTGTTAATGGTGACCATAATGGTCACCATGAGTAAACATGTCTTTAAATTCAGCCGGGGCGACTATTGCATTCCTTAAGTCGATGTGGTAGAAACGAATACGAAAAATATATATATCAAAACTTGGACCCACATAAACAATTTTCCGCACAAAATTTGTTTACCCTCAAGCGAAATCCTTCAAAATACTGACTGTTAAACGAGGGATCGTTTCCCTATATATTTCACACGGATATTCTTCGCGGGGTGAAAGCACATTGCTCTTAGTTTTTAGAGCAATTTCTAGCCTCTATTTTTTTGTACGTAACTCCGCCAGATACCTCATAGGAATATGAAACATCAAATTAGGACGAATGTTCAAACCCCCCAAAATACCAAAATACCTAAAAACTTCGCCCAATCATGATAATTTTTGGTAGGAAGATTTGACACCCCATGAGAACCTGAAAAATCAAATTAGAGCCAATCCCGTGAAAAAATCTAGTCTAAACCAGTAAGGAAAGTAGTGAAGTCGGACGGGGCCGAATATATGATACCCTTCACCACTTTGGGTATATTCAACAGGTGCACCAGTAACTCGCAATGTTCAGGTTGTACAACCCCAGATAACTTATATTCCCCCAGCACCAGTAACTCCCCTGATTGTTCAACAACTCAAGAAGACCTACATTCCCCCAGCACCTGTAACTCGCTATGTTCATGTTGAACAACCCCAGATAAGGTATGTTGTAGAGCCCAAAAACACCTACATCCCACCTGCACCGGTCCGTCTTGTAGAATCCACATACACCGCAGACGGTTACCATTACTAGACGGTTCGTCGAGTTATCTACAAGCACGCGCTTAAGAATTTCGTTTTTTTTTGTTGGTTAATAAAATTATTGTTGCCGATTAATAAAAAGAAGTTTAAAAATTAAATATTTAAAATATGGAAATTGTTGAAATGGTGACCATAATGGTCACCATGATAAACATTATTTAAATACATGGGTTTGCATTCCTTAAGTCGATGTGGTAAACAAATACGAAAAATATATATATCAAAACTTGGACCGTACATAAAAATTTTTAAATTTTTTAAAGCGAAATCCTTCAAAAACTGACTGTTAAACGAGGGATGTTTTATATATTTCACACGGATATTTTAAAAATATTGCTCTTAGTTTTTAAGTTTTTAGCCTCTATTTTTTTGTAAACTCCGCCAGAAAAAGGAATATGAAACATCAAAAAACTATAAAAAGTACCAAAATACCTAAAAATTCGGCATTTTTTAAAGTGAGGGGCACATAAACCATATACAGATTGTGCAATACTTTGGGTATATTTCCTTAAAATGTTTTTGGACCCATAAACATATCTTTCTTTAAAAACTAATCCTTTAATATGGATATCCGAAATTGCATATATAATATCACAAAGTTTGAAATTTCTAGCTAATGTTTTTATATTTTTATTGACGAAAATTCCGTAGTATTTCGCGTATAAAACTTTTTAAATTTTTAAGACAATATTATTACAAAGTGGTTAACTACGATGTGTATTATTATAGAAATGTTTAAAAATATAATGTTTTTCTCGAAAAAAAATGAAAAAAACTATAAAAAGTTGTGTCGGAGTGGGGCACATTCGGCCATATACAGATTGTGCAATATTATTTCCTTAAAATGTTTTTGAGTTTGTCTTTAAAACTAATATTGCATATATATGATAAAACGTGCTTGTATTGTCGAAAATGCGATAGAAAATAAAGCCCTATAATTCAAACATTGTGTGGCGTATTAAAACCAAATAGAGCCTTTAGAGGATCAGAATTTCAACCAGACTGATAGCGATGACAATTACCCGGCTATGACTATGTTGCCGAATGTGCCCCATCAAATGCCGAAGCTACCCCGGGTTGGGGCACATTCGGCGAATTTGACTTTTTTTACAAAACTGTAAAATTGTTTAACTAATACTATTTTTTTATATCTTTTTGGTACTATTTTTTAAAATTAAGTGTCTGAGGACAATAATCAGCCATAAAGTTGTTATAAATGTTGAATAAGTACTGAGATATAGAGCTCTAAAAAAAAAGTGCCGAAGGTGCCCCAGTCTCCCCTAAATCAATTTAAAGCATATATCAGTCGGATACCGGTTGATTTTTTGGATACATATCTGATAAACATGAGGAGTTTGGTGCACCATTTACTTCAAATCGGACGAAAATATTTCTAAAAGCTATATCGAAATCTAAGCCGATTTCATCCAAACTTGTCACAAAATATCGGCCACCTTTTGAGTTCTTAATGCATCATTTACTTAAAATCGGAAGAAAATATGTATGTATGGTAGCTCTATCCAAATTTGAACCGATTTCAATAAAACTTTCCACATGGTTGGTTATATAAACTATATAACATTGGGTCTTTGGTGCACAATTTACTTAAAATCTGACGAAACTATATAGGAACTACATCTAAATCTGAACTAATTTCAACAAAACTTCCCACACGAATTCCCCACCTGGGGAATTCGGTGCAGCATTTATATCTAACTGATAGGTTATACTAAGTTCATTACGAAAGATATATAGGGAGTCTGGTGCCCCATTTACCTAAATTCGGACGAAAACATATATTGAAGCTATATCTAAATCCTAACCGATTTTCACGAAACTTAACAAACATCATTGTAGACTTTATTAAGTACGTTGTACCAAATTTCGTGGAAATTGGAAGATATTTAGGGACTTTGGTACACTATTTTCCTTAAATCAGGCAAAAATATATATGGGAGCTATATCTAAATCTAACCTACTTTCAGGAAACTTAACACATCCAATTAATTATGCTGTGCCAAAATTTCGTGCAAATCGAAAGATATATAAAGACTCTGGTGCACCATTTACCTAAAATCGGACGAAAATATATATGGGAGCTATATCTAAATCGGAACCGATTTTCACGAAACTTAACACACATCATTCTAGACTTTATTCAGTTCGATATCCCAAATTTCGTGCGAATTGAAAGATATTTAGGGACTTTGGTACACCATATTCCTTATATCGGACGAAACTATATATGGGAGCTATATCTAAATCTAAACTGATTTTCACGAAACATAGCACACATTATTCTAGACTTAATTCAGTACGCTTTGCCAAAATTCGTGCAAATAGAAAGATTTTCAGAGACTTTGGTGCACTATTTACCAAAAATCGGGCGAAACTATATATGGGAGCTATATCTAAATCTGAACCGATTTTCACGAAACTTAGCACAAATCATTCTAGACTTAATTCAGTACACTATGCAAAAATTCGTGCAAATTGAATGATTTGCAGGGACTAAAGTCCCTAAATCGGACAAAAATATATAAGGGAGCTATATCTAAATCTGAACCGATTTTCAATAGGGTTCGTCCTTGGGTCAAATAAATGAGCTGTACCAAATTTCAGCCAAATCGGATTATAAATGTGACCTGTACTTTGTTTACAATTTAACATCAACAGACGGACGGACGGACGGACATGCATAAATCGACTCAGAAAGTTATTCTATGCATATTCTCAAAAGGAACCATGGGTCTATCTCGATTCCTTTTGCCTGTTACAAACATATGCACAAAGACATAATACCCTGTGTATTCACCACAGTGTGGTGAAGGGTATAAAAATCAAATTAGAGCCAATTCCGTGTAAAAAACAAGTCTAAAATACCGAATAATGGGGTATTACCATTGTATGGGGCTACCCAGAAATGTGGGACAATGTTGATCATTTCTGTTAGGGACATTTTCCACTCAATGATAATACAAACTGTTTAATTGCTCCCAAATTAGTTGAAACATGTGCTCAAGCTCTCCAAAATTGGGATATTTTAGGGTGTAGAGCTATATGGGGGCTTCCCTAAAATCTGGACCAATATTGATAATTTTTGGTAGGAAGATTTACTACCATACCACAACCGAATATAAGAAACTAGCAAAGTACCCGCTACTTCGTATGCGGAAAGGGAATAAAAAAATATTTCATATGGAAATGGTGAATACCGTATAATAAGTTGTACTATAGTTCTGAATTCCACCTCTATTCCTACATTTAGTATCAAGTTTATTACCATTAATTACTCTTCATACACATAAGCACTATTTTCCGAAATCCACACTTTAGCAAAAACGTACAGGTTCCACATGTAATTCCTTTTAGAACTTTTCGAACACCGTCACCTCCACTAAATTTGGTACCAAAAACCCTTTGGTCCTTCTTTCTAACTCTCTGTCAATGACCAACATTCTAAATTTTAGGTTTCCAGCTCTCTCCGTTATCCAAGTTTAGTGAATTTTCTATTCTATACTATTGGTACACATAAATTCGAGTTTCCAAAGTTGTCTCCATAGCTCAATACTACACTTCAACAGTAATCTAAGTTCCAAATCTCAAGATTCAACCAAATCCAAATTGTTTCAAATTTAGTACCATTTAGTAATTCTCATACTCATAGGTAAGAATTTCTAAAACTACATCAATCCATCAATCCTAATCTTACTTCCACCAAAGTCCAAATTGTTCCAAATTATTTTGAAGTCCAAATATTAGGATTCCCGCTCACACAAAACGAATTGTACCATATTTAGTACCAATTAGGTCTTCTCGTATCCATAAGTACGAAATTCCAATACTTCCTTAATCTTGCAATTTTAATTACAAATTTACGTTTACTATCTCTATCCGTTAACTCGAATCAAAATTGTACCAATTTTTTTACCATTCAGTACACATAATGACGAATTTTA